GCGAAGGTTAGTGACGAAACACTATAATTCTCTGTGTTGATCTTTTATTTCTGAAGTTGCTTGATATTGTCTTTATAACACTTTTGTTTAATTTTTTAAAAAACGCTAAAATTGTTAAATGATTCAGATGTTCTAAAAATTGGTAATAAGTTTCTTATTTATTCTGAACATTAGAACTCTAGTATTCTAATTAAAGTTGAATATTACCATGTTCTAACAGAAAAAAAAAAAAATGTTGTTCTATTCACAGATATATTTCACTAATTGGGTTTCTAATTAATTTCGAAACTTTTATGAGGATATTCTAATTCCTGATGCTTTCCCATCATTTAAAGTCATTCTGATATTGATTAGGCTTTGTGAAGAAGTTTCTGAATTTAATAATTGTCTTTCACATAGCTTTTATGATTTTTCCAAACTTTATGAGGAAGTTTCCCAATTTCAATGGAATTTTCCTTCATTAAAGAGGCTCTGATAGTATATAGTTAGTGTTAAGCTGTTTTCTAATCAATAGCTGCACTTCTGTGAATACCAAATTTTTGAGGCTCAAAAAGCCAGTTTTCCCGGACTGGCAAAAACATTCCGGCCGGACCGATAGCCATTTTGAAAATTTACCGAAGTATGCCAATATGGTACTTGGAAACGTTCAGGAAAATTACGAGGATCGCAGACAACTGGTCCCAGAATATTTTTTGGAGGTCCGCAATTCCGGAAAAGCCTCCGGGATGAAAAACTAGAAATGTCTGCGGCCGCCGGTGGCCGCCTTTTAACGGCGACGGCAGCTCGCCAGCGACCAACGGCTGCGGTTCGGCCCTTTCCGGCAGCGGCAGCCGCCGGAAAGGGCGGTACTTGCCACCGATAGGCGGCAGCTGCCGCCTGGGAGGGCGGCACCTGCCGCCGACCCCCGGCGGCACTTGCCGCCGGCCAGGGCGGCAGCTGCCGCCGGCCTCCAGCCCGGAATTTGGCCTATAAAAGCAGCCCCGGAGCATCAGTTTTTATCACTCAGTCTATGTTGACGGACGGCTCCTCCCCTCGGCTCCTTGCGATTCTATTTACTGCTTTTCTGCATTTTTTAATTTTAGCATTTTATTGCTTTCTTTGCTTTTGATTATTTGGCCACTTAAATTAAATTAATTCTAAATTAATATTTCCCAAACGGAGGGCTTAATCCGGAGTTTTCAAGCTGAGCTTAAGAAGCGATCGCCGATTAAACTCAGGTAAATAAACAAAACTCTGCTCATTTTTAATTTTAGCACTTTCATGCATATTCTTCTTCTACTCCTAATACTCTACAACTACGTTTTATGTCATTCAATTTAGGCAAATAAACTGCCTCCAATCAAATATTGATTAAGCTTAAATTTACCCGGTTAATTAATAATCAGTTGTATTAATGCTAAATCCGACAATATTGCTAAAAAGCCTAGTTAATTAATAACTATGGTTTAATTTGCATTATTTCGAAACAGTCCGGTTTTAAGTCCAATTAATCAATAATTGTGGCTAGAAGCCTTAATTTCAAATCACGTTTTCCGCGCAACAATTTTCCTACGTTAATCAATTCATTTGGCACAAATCTGCCTAAATTACACATCAATTTTTGACAAGAACGCCTTGAATTAATCAATCTTTTGGCAAATAAAATTGCCATTAAATCAGGTCAATTTGGCGACAATCGCCCAATCAACATCTTTTTGGAGAAATAAATTGCCTAAAATACAACACTTTTGGCTAGAAGCCTTCAAATTCTACACATTTTTTGGGCTAAAAGCCTTTAAATAAAACCAATCTTTTGGCGAAACAAATTGCCTAAATCACAAATCTTTGGCTAAAAGCCTTTATTCCATTTTTGGCAACAATAAGGCCCAATCAAACCACTTCCTTTTTTGCAACAATAAGCCCAATCAAACACCTCCTTTTGGCAACAAACGGCCTCAATAAATCAATCAAACCTTTTTTGGCAAAAATGCCTAAACAAAATTGCACGAAGCATACACACATTCATGCATTAAGCTACCCATTCAAAGCCCTTAAAAAAAAGCCCATCGAACTACGTTGATTTGATTTCCATTCAAACGGAAGTACGTAGGCACGTTCGGGGATTTAACCCCGAACGGCAAGTCGAACATAATTCAAACATTTCCATTGGTCCAATTACTCAACCTTACAAAGCATTCATCATAGGTTAGTTCATCAGCATGACATAGTTCTCGGGATCCACCTCGGGTTTCGTAGCCATGCCTTAAACATTGGGTGTTAATTTCATCTAGTAATTAGGTTAATTTAAAATTCGGAGTCACTTAGGGTTTTTCCTAGTCTTACCCCTAAAATAATTAAACAAGGGGGGTGGCGATCATACATTCACGTGCATTTCTGCCCTTAGTCACATTGCCATTCATATGCCTGTTTTCGGGGGAGGGGTCACCAACTCGCACAGACTTTCTATCTTTTATAATTTAGAACATTGTGAGGTGATTCTTATCCATATTCTCATTTCTTTCACAAAGTCTGAGTGTTTTTCCGCTGCACTTTAGAAATTTCTATATTTTTTGTTTAGAATTCTAAAATTTATTTTGAGTTTTTAAAAACCCAATTTCACCCCCCCCCCTCTTGGGTTGTGCGATACATATACGGCGAACCACAATCTGGTATCAGAGCCTTGGCTCTTGAACTTATCCGAAGCTTAAAAAAGAAAGAGATAAGATTCCCATTGGCAAAACCCCACTCCTCTTTCTTCTTTAAGGGGAAGGACAATCTGTTCTCGACCTCCTTTCTTCAGTGGCTCTAGCATTACTCTTACTGGAAAACTAGAATGGAGAATTTCACTGGAAATCAGTTGATATAAACCTGCTGGAGAAATGTTTACCACTGGTCCTCGTATTCCCATTGAAAACGTGTAGGAGATAGCTAGTTCAGAAAAAACAGAAGAAGAATATACGATGCCTGATTGGAATGACATTGCTGTAAATGCAAAAGCCATTAATATTCTTCATGTACTTTTAGATGCAACTGAACAACAAAGTGTCTAGATGTTAAATCTGCGACAGAGGTATGGGAGAAAAATTTAAAGTCACCTATGAGGGTACAGATAGGGTAAAAGAAATCCAGAATAAATATCCTTTGGAGAGAATATGAAATGTTTTAGTATGAAAGAAGGGGAAACTATCTGCAGAATATAAATTCTAGATTTACCAAATATAGTTAATCCTTTTGAGAACTCTCGGAAAGGGAAATTTCAGAAGATGAGCTTTGTTAAGAAAATCCTTAGAATTCTACCCTAGAAAATGGGATTCTATTAGGGGAACTGTCTGAATTACAAAGAGACTCCCGTCAGCTTATTATTATCTTATAGGAGCTCTTGTTTCAGAGAAATGAAATCTTTCCCTTGACAACGGAAGATAAGGGAAAAAGAAAGGACTGGCTTTGAAGGGTTAGTTCTAGTGAAGAAAGTTCTTCCTTGATCTTTGATAGTGATTATTTAGCACTTGTTTGCTAAAAGAATTTTGCTAAAAGATTTAAAAAGTTCTATAAAAAGAGTGGAAGGCCACAGAGAAAGTTTAACAAAAAGAACTTTCCACCCAAGAATGGGAACCTACCAAAGAAAGAACCTTCTGAAGTGGTTTGTTATGAATGCAACAAACCTGGACATATCAAGCCTAATTGTCCTAAATTGAAAAAGAAATCAATGAAAGAGAAGCTGAAGCAGGCTTTCGTAGCTGCTTGGAGGGATTCAGATGATTCTAATCCTGAAAGCCACAGCGATCAAGAAGAAATTGCTAATATCTATCTAATGGCTACTATCGATTCTGAATCTAAAGAAAATAGCACTCTGACTTCAACACAGAAAGTTGGAATCAACGAAACAAATGCAACGATCCATGAAAATGATGAAAGCACTGTACGTATTTCTGAACCCGAATCAGAAAGTGATCTTCCAAATACTTACAATAATCTTTGCAATGAGTTTGAAAAACTTGTTAGAAAGCATAAAGTTCTAAATAAAGATTTCAGAAAATTAAAATCTAAAAGTAATCATTATTAAAATCTAAAAGTATCATTTAAAAGATTGCTTTTTATCAAGAAGGTTACATGCAAAGATCTTATTCATAGAAATCAAAAGATCTTAAAAGTTGCAATAATCGATTATTCTGAAAACTTGACAATTCTTGAAGAAAAAGGGCAAAAATCTGGATGAATTCTGAAAATAATCTTTGAAAAAACCTGAATTAGAATTTCTAAAGTCAATTCAGAATTCATTCGTCTAAAGAGAAGGACAAGTTCTAAGTAGGCATTTCTAAACTGAATCGGTTTCTAAGTCAGCAAAAAATATGTTTCTAATGTTGTGGACTTATAGAACATCAAAACGTTTCCACTGAAAGAAAAATCATCAGTGCTAAATGCACTTGTTACCACTAACCCTCTAGGACCCAATATGAGTTGGGTACCTAAATCTGCTTGATCTTTTCAGGTGTGCCTAAGGAGCGAGCTGAAAACAAAAATGTGGTACATGGACAGCGCTTGCTCTAGGCATATGACTGGTGATAGAAAGCAATTCACCAGATTAAAAAAGAAAAAGGGAGGTACAGTAAGCTTCGGAGACAAAGCAAAAGGTAAAATCATGGGTATTGGTGTAGTCGGTTCTAATCCTTCAATAGAAGATGTATGCTTAGTAGAAGGATTACAATAAAACCTGTTAAGTGTAAGTCAGATTTGTGATAAAAATAGAAGAGTGATCTTTGAACCCTCTTATTGTGAAGTTCAGAACATGCATGATAACAAAACATTGATAACTAAAACCTTATTCGTTGGAAAAAAAAGGTTGGAAATTATACCTAGTAGATCTCTCGATATGCATAACCAGGATAAACTATGTTTCAGTTTTATTGATATAATCTCTAAGTTGGTTACTGCCCATAGAAGGACTTGGACATGCAGCATGCAACCTTATTTCTTAAAACTGTCTAAAGAACAGATTGTGGTTCGTGGGTTTGCCAAATTTGAAATTTTGAAAAACGATCACATTTGTGATGCTTGCTCAAATGGGCAAACAAACCAGGAACTTCTTTTAAATCCTAAGGGCATGTCTTACTTCTAGAACCTTAGAATCTGCTACATGCTTTGAAAATTTCATTTCTGGTTCCAATTACTCCTTCTAGTCTTGGAAGGGAAAAAATTCGTATGCATTTGCTTATTGTAGATGACTTACTCAAGATTTCACCTGGGACACTCTTCCCTTAGAAATAAGGCATGAGTCACTATGAATGTTTTTTTCATTCTATGCAAGAGGCAATACAGAATGAGAAAGGATACAACATCACGGAAATTAGAATGATCATGGAGGGAGAATTTGAAAATCAGAAATTTCGCATGCTTTTTTGCAACGAGACAAGAATCTTCCATAACTTACTCAGCACCTTAGAACACCCTCAACCAAAATGCAGTTGGTGGAACGCACAAGAATAGAACACTGTCAATAGATGCGCCAGAACCAATGCTAAGTGATTCTAAGATTACTAAAGTATTTCTGGGGCAGGAAGCCAGTTAACTCACTTCCTGTTATATTCTAAACAGGGCCTTTGGTTAAGATCTGAACTTAAAAAGACTCCATATGAGCTATACAAAGGTCAGAAAACCAAATATTGGTTAATTTTCATATTCTTCGGCGCTGCAAATGCTTTATTCTAGATAACAAGAAAAATCATTCTTGCTAAAATTCTGATGCAAAATCTTCATGAAGGATTTTTCTGGGAGTATTTCTACATAATAGTAAAGCATATAGAAGTATTTAATAAAAAGACGTCTAGTTCGTTAGGAAAGAATCAATTCATGTCTGTGCTTTGACTGGGAAACTGACTTTCACTTCTTAGACATTAGGAACAGTGATGATGCTGTAGATTTCTAATCCTGAAAAGCAGAATGAAGCATCAGAAACAACTAGAACAGCCAGGAACAGCGATCAGAACATCACAGAATCAGCTTGAACCAGGCAATTAGAACATGAACGCATCAGAACATAGTTGAAAGCCACAATTGCCAGAAACCAAAAATGAAGATTGCTCCAATTACCAAAAGGAATGGCGATTTTTTCATAAGTATCATCCCCAAGAAGACATAATGGATAACCCCTCAGATAAGGATGATGACTAAGCTCAACTTAACAAGATATTTTGGAATGTTTGCTTTCGTTTCTCAATCTAGAACCTCAAAAAACTGTAGAAGATGCCTCCAAAAATGATGAAAAGTTAGAAATTCTTGCTATGCAAGAAGAGCTAAATCGGTTTAAGATTAAATCAAGTTTGGAAAACTTGTTTCTAGCAACTTAAAAACCATTCTTGTTATTGGAACAAAAGGGGGGGTGTTTAGAAATTAAGGTGAATGCAACAAGTTAATGTTCGTGAGAAATAAAACAAAGCATTAGTTGGCTCAAAGGGTACAACTAAGAAGAAGGCACGACTTTTGGATTGAAACCTTTGCTCCGCTCTGCTAGACTTGAGGCCATTAGAATGCTTTGGCATTGCATGTTTTAAAAACTTCATGTTGCTATCCAACTGGATGTTGAAAAAGTGCTTTTCTAAACGGTTTTCCGTAACAATGAAGAGGTGTATGTAGAACAACCTCCTGTGCTTTGAACATTTTTGATAAACCTCAATCATGTTTACCAAACTTACTAAAAGCTCTTTTATTGCGTTTAAAAGCAAGCTCCTGAGCTTGGTACTGAAAGATCTAAGTAAGTTTCTATTAGAAAATGTTTTTCAAGAGGAAAGTTATCAGATACAAACCACTATTTATTAAAAAAGCAAAGCACGATGATATTCTAGTTGTACAAATTTATGTTGATCGCATATAATCTTTGCGGTTCTACTAACGACCTTTCTTTGTAAGGACATTTTTCTAAGATTATGCAGGTTGATTCGAACATGAGTGATGCATGGAGAATTAAACTAACCTCCTTGGACTTCAAATCACAAACAAATGTGAGAATGAATTTTCATTAATCAAGAAAAAAATATATTAGAGAGCTTGTTAAAACGATTTCCAAAATGGAAAAGCCAAAGTATTACGTACACCAATCCAGTCCATCGTCCAAAATTAGAAAAGATCGAAAAAAGGTAAAACGGATATCAAGCTGCTTTAGAAGTTGCATTGTTCTTTGCTATATTCTAACGGCAGAAGCAGACCAGACATACACTTTATGTTTGTCTATGGTTAGAATTTCAATCGTGTCCCAAAGAATCTCATTTAATTTGCTGCTGAAGAGAATACTAAGATACTCTTTTGTGGAACTTCTAATCTGGGTCTGCTGTATTCTAAAGATGATACATTACTGATCTTATTGGGTATAGAATTCTGCATTTTGCAGGAAGTAGAATTAGATAGAAAAAGCACGTCTGGAACTTGTCAATTTTGGGGGTAGCGCCCTTGTATTCTTGGTTTAAGCAAGGAAACCAAACATCTGTTGCTCTTTCTACCTGTAGAAAGCAGAATATTGTTGGCTGCTGGACAGCCTGTGTGCACAAGTTCTATGCGATTCAAACAACAAGTTGCCAGACTACTGCGACCTTAAATTTAGAAACAGTGCCAACCAGTGTGACAACATAAGTGCCATCAATTTATCACAGAATCCAGTTCAGCATTCTAGAGCCAAGCCATATCAGCAACTCAAGGACATCACTTCCAACTGCAATCAGTGTACAAAAACGGTGATAATCGTGAATTCAGTTCATTCCCACAGAAAAGCCACATGGCAGATATCTTTACAAAAACCTTTGACTTGAAAGCCCAATTCTGCTCAATTAGAGAGAACTTGGCGTATCGTTAGTTCTAAACTTCTTAATGGTTTACGAACTCCCTGTAAGTATGTCTAAACTGCTTCTAATTTCGGCAAAATAGAAGAGATTTGCCATGTTCTAATTTTTATTCTCGTGTGGAAAACTAATTTTTATCTAAAAATGCACATTTGCTTCTGATATGACTTTCCTAAATCATTATCAGCAAATTCTTGCTTTAGACTAAAACAGTCTATTTTTATTGTGTCGTTTGTTTGTTTTAATTATGTTTTTCGTGTCTTTAGTGCTTTGGCGGCTTTTATTGTTTATTTGTTTTCTTCCTTTTATTTATTTTTTATTTTCCTTTTTGTGCTTATTTTTCGTAATTCCATTTAAAAACTGCTCTTTATTTCTTTCTTCCCGCCCACTTAACGCAGTACTTTATTCTCTGTTAACTGCTCTAGTATTCTTCTCTATCGTCTTTTGCTAACTTGAAAACCCTCAGTTGTTCTGAGTTTCGAAAGTCTGCAACATGGCCGACATCTAGTTCATAAACTCCTTCATCCGACTCTCTTCATCCGACTCTCTTACCGAGCAAGAGCTTCAACTTCTGAGGAAGCTCTCAAAGAAATATGAACAGAAGGAGTCGAAGGAGAAAAGGCAAAAGAGAAAACAAAGAAAAGAAAAATCGAAACTGCTACATCACAGAAACAGGTAGCGAAAGCTCGTGATAAAGGTAAATCAGTTCTTTCAACTTACACTCTCATGCGTTCTTATGTGATTGACTAGAAGTTCTTTAGTGGTGATGAGTTTAATTTTAAGGAACTTTTTGAGTTCCAAGGCTGGATGAACTTTTTAAGGCTGGATGAACTTTTTGTCCTTGAATGAACTGTGCTATGAGAGTTTGGTTAAGGAATTTTATGGCTCTTTGAAAGTTAATGGGACAGAGTCGATCTCTGTAAAACTTCAGGGTAAAACAAAAGAGTTATCGTATGATGATTTTGGGAAAATTTTTGATGTACCGAATGCTGGGTCCAGGGTGACCAAAATGAAGGACGTGTCTAGGGTTAGCAATTACAAAAAGGAAGATTTTGTGAAAAAGATTGTGAAAAAGTTTTCTGCAAAGATTGTGAAAAAGTTTTCTGCAGACAAACAGGGCTCAATAGAATGCTCTAACTTGACAGAGAGCATGAAATGGTTGTACAAGCTCATTGTACACTATATCTATCCCAAGAGTGCTTCACTGACGTATGTGAATCAAGTAGAGTTATGTATCATATGGCACATAGTTGAGAAGAAACCTCTCAATCTATGTGACATTGTTTTTGACAAATTGCAGAACAATCCCAAAAAGCTACCCTACGGTATGATTTTACCCCTGTGTTTGAGTTTCTGGATGTTGATCTAGATGAGTATGTTGGTCAGTCTATTTCCAAGTTAGATAGCGGGTCTTTGAAAATGAAGGATGAGGAAGGAGGGGAAGAGAAAGAAAAAGAAGAGAAGGAAAAGAAAGAAAAAGAAGAGAAGGAGGAGAAAGAGAAGGAAGAGAAGAGAAAAGAAGAGATTGAAAAAGAAAAAAACAAGTAACAAGAAAAGTAAAAAGACAGAACTTGGAAAAATAACAAAAGGAAAGAAAAAGTAATGAAGGACCAAGAAAAGGTAAAGAAGAAACATTGAGAAGAAGAGAAAAGAAAAAAGGAAAAGGAAAGTTAGATGAACAATCAGTAGAAGAAGAAAAGAATCAGCAAAAGAGAACACTTAAGCAGAAGCAGGAAAAGAAGACAGAAGAAAACGGCAGAAGAGAAGAAACGAAAGAAAACACAAGAGAAGAATTAGAAGGAAGAGAGAAACAGAGAAAACTGAAGATGGAGAGTACTACAAAGAAAGAAGAATCAGAAAAGACAGACAACAGAAAAGACAG